ATGCAAAATAATTATTGTAATCAGAATACCACATCGGTGCATGTAAACAGCCCATCAGTAAAGTTTCCAGCTGCCCACAAGCCACCAGGACGCGATTCACTAGCATGGTGAGGATCTCGTGAACTGGGGATCTGTCGTGCATTTCCAAGCTGCAACATCTGGTGGACAGAATGAATCACAGGATGTGCTTCTAGCTATCTGAGGCTCTAAAGGATTCCTTCCCATCCTTACCTAATTAATCCTTTTAAATAATATTTCTCCAGACTTCTTAGGCTGGAGAAGAACACAACATGGTGTACATTCGTTTAGAATTGTTGTTTTTCTCTGGGCCATTCTATGGAGTGAAAAAAGGATGTCTGTTGTGTGGAAACTTTACTCACTTTCACTTCCAGCCCATACATTTGGCAGGGTTGTCCGGAGTAATCATTTGAACACATCCTGATGGGAATGTTACTGTACTTAAGCCCTCGTAGGCTTCAAGGTAGAAATTGTGACTTGGTTCAAGCTTTTGCAGAAAAGGAGGAGACATACCGGGGCGGGGGGAAAAAACCCTCTCTTTTCCCAAAATGTTGAGCATTTTGGGGGTGGAAGGGTTGGTTATTCTGAAATAGAAATTCTATACATTTCAGAACTCTATTTTATTTTATTTTCCTTTCCTAAATGACGAGTTGATAACCAAGGGGATTTTTTTTTAAAATCTTGCACTTATTAGGAGCTTTAATACGTTATTTCTTCAATGCTTTTTTAAATATGGTATTAATTTGTTCTTTGGCTTTTAACTTTGGTGTGTTCCAGAAGCCACTTTGGATTCTTTAGGAGAAAGGTGGCAAATCAATATTTTATATATACATTCAAGTTAATTAATTCAAAAAGGACCCAAGGCGGTTTACATCATTAAAAAGGCAGTATTTAAAAGCAAAAACAGTAGGTTTACAAATATTGAAGGTAGCAGGAAAAGAGGAAAACCGAATAAGAGATGTATTGACTCTGTAAAGGAAGTCACAGGCTTGAGTTTGCAAGAGCTGAGCAGGGCTGTTGAAGACGGGGCCTTTTGGAGATGGCTCATTTATAAGGTCACCCTGGGCCAAAGGTGGCTTGACAGCACATAACAAGAACAACATACAAATATTAAAACAGAATAAATCAGTAATTATAGTAAATAAATTCAACACTCAAAACATATTTAAAAGTAGCAAAACACAATCCCACTCAGAGGCAGGCAGTCGTTAAGAAAAAGCCTGCCTGGAGAAGGACAGCAAAGATGGGGCCAGGCTGGCCTCCAGTGGGAGGGAGTTCCAGAGTCTAAAGGCACAGCCACCGAGAAGAAGGCCCTCTCCCATGTCCCCCACCAAATGCACCTGTGAAGGTGGCGAGGTCAAGAGAAAAAGTTTCTCTTGATGATCTTAATGCCAGGGCTGGCTCATCAAGGGAGACACAATCCTTGAGATCGTTTGAACCCGAGCCGTTTAGGGCTTTCTAAGTTAGAACCATCCCTTTGAATTGTGCCTGGAAACAGATTGGCAGCTGCTGTAACAAGGAGGCGGTGTGTGTGTGGGGGGGGGTTTACAACGACTTGTTGTGCATTTCTCTAGTGTGTACATTCCTAGAAGATGTGATAAGCGTTGACTTCTGGCATGAGCCAGCAAACGCAGTCTTTTTAGAGGAGTTCTGTCTTTTTTATTAGATTGGCGCTGTTCTTAGTTACTCCTCTCCACATACACACACACACATATATGTGTGTGTGCGCCCTTAACAGGATTTTCTAAACTCTGACTCTGCGTGAATCGGGATCCCACTGCAGCATGGGTCGTGTCCACACCATGTGGACAGATTGCCTGCTCCTTTTTCATAGAATCCTAGGATCATGGATTTGGAAGGGCCCTCGAAGGCCATCAAGTCCAGCTCAAGGCTGGAATCCAAGTCAAAGCAGATCGGGCAGAGGGATGCCTACATTTCTCTTGAAGGCCTCCAGCGTTGGAGCGCTCGTCACTTCTCGAGGCCATGGGTCCCCTTGTCGTACTGCTCTAACATCTACATTTCGCTTGAAGGCCTCCAACATCGGAGCGCTCGACACCTCTCGAGGCCATGGGTTCCGTCGTCGTACTGCTCTAACAGTTTTCCTGATATTCAATTGAAAACTGGCTTTGTTTAATGAGCCCATTGTTGCGTGTCTTGCACTCTGGGATGATCGAGAACAGATCCTGTCCCTCCTCTGGAGGACAGCCTTTCGAGTCTTTGAAAAGTGCTATCCTCTCTCCCCTCAGTCTTCTTTTCCCCAAGGCTAAACATGCCCAATTCCTCATAAGGCTTGGTTTCCACCCCCCTGATCCTCCTTGTCGCCCTCCTCTGAACGTCTTCCAATTTGTCAGCATCCTTCTTGAAGTGTGGGGCGTCCAGAATTGGACACGGGACTCAAGGTGAGGCCTAACCTGTGCCGAATAGAGGGAGCACCTAGCACTTCACGGGATTTTCCCCACCGACACGACTCTCTCCTCCTTTGCCTCCTGGTTTTGCCCCATCCACACGGAGTGGATGGAGACGGGCCAGTAGAAAAATGCCCCGAAGGAAGTTTCTTCAAGCGACGCCCAAGCCACAAACTGTGCAAATCACCCCCCGAGATCAGGCCCTGGAGCGAATCACAGGAAACCCAAGAAGAATTCGGAAAGCAAAGGGTTGTTGTTGTTTTCATGCTTTTGACTCTGTCAGCACTAAGTTCAGCTGTGTCTTATAATAATCATTATCATTCATCGCCATCCTCATCTTACAACTGCAGAGGTAAAAGGGACCCTGTGGGATCATCCATTCCAGCCCCTGTCAAGGAGACCCGGCGGGGGAATTTGAACTCCCAACTTCTGGCTCTGCTAAACCACTGAGCGATCCATGCAGACACCAGCTCTCTGTGTATGTGTGTGTGTGTGTACTCGGCTCACAGCTGCATTTTGGCAGGAGGGGGAAGGAGGCTTTGAAGGGCCACCTTCCTACCGTCTTCCTTTTCCCCCGCCTGCTGCTTCTGCCCAGAAATAACCGAATGTTTTATGTCACCTTAATGGGAGCTAAATGTGCACGGATGGCCTGGCGGGTGCCCCCCCTCCCCACTCCGGCCCCCTCTGCTCCATTACCGTATTGATCGGGGAGATATTGCAGAAGACAGAAGAGCAAGCGCTTCTGATTGCTGGCACTTAGCGTGACAGCAATCCGATAGCCTTGAGGTCCTGATGTACAGTCCAGGGCTGGCAGGCAGGCAGGCAGGCAGGCAGGGGGGTGTTGTTGTCTTCGTTGGGGCAGGAGGCGGGGGGGCGCATGGAGAAAGAAGACACCAGCGGTCTCTCTCTCTCTTGGGGGGGGGAGGATCTCCAGGAATTGCCCTGGGATTGAGTTTTCTTGGCCCAGTGGGGATTTTATTTATTTATTGGATTTCTGTCCCACCCATCTAGACCAAAGGTCTACTCTGGGCAGTTTACAAATTTTAAAACAATAAAGTCAAAAATGTATATTATAGATCCAAGGTGGTCATTAAGACATATTAATATACGGCAGGAGGGAAATCCTGCCCAAATAGCCAGGTTTTAAGTCTGTTCTTGAAAACACCCAGAGAGGGAGCCAGGCGGATTTCTACGGGCAAGTTTTTCCAAAGGCGAGGGGCCACTGCCGGGAAGGCCCTGCTCCTCATTCTTTCCTTCCGGACCTACCTCACAGTTGGGTCCCTCCGCCGCCCGGCCTGGCTGGAACGAGTGACTCTGGCAGAACTGGGTGGGAGAAGGCGCTCTGCCAGATATCGAGGTCCTAAACCATTTAGGGCTTTATATGCAATTGTAAGAACTTTGAGATCAATGCGGAAACGAATGGCAGCCAATGCAAGGTGGCCAGAGGTGGGGGAAATATGATGGTACCTTTTCACCCCAGTGAGAAGTCTGGCTGCCACATTTTGTACCATCTGAAGTTTCCGCGTCAGTCTCAAGGGCAAGATTTGAACCCAAGTCTCCAAAGTCCTGGTTAAAGATGGGCATAATGATACTTCAGGGCTTTAGCACCATTGAGCAGATCGGGCCCACGGGTGTTGCACGAGCACATTTTAATATCCCGTGTAATCTGGTCATAAGCTCCATGCGTTTCGGCTCTTTCTACGAGCTGAATTACAGGAGGGCAGCTTTCTGCAATGTGGTGCCCTCTAGATATGCTTAACGATCACAACTTCTGATTTCTCCAGGGAGCACAAGTCAGAGAGGTTCTTTCTTAAGGGAATTTGAGACATGTCTGCCCCTCTGTCCTGCCAAGAAGTGTTTTTCCTCCCAAAGGACTTTTAAAAAACTAAGAAAGAAAAAAAAGAATCCTTGTCTTACCATTTCATGGCACAACATAAAAGGAAGAAGGAGTGGGGAGGGAAGAGGAAACCAAGCGCACTCAGACACCAGTTCTTGATGGCTATATAGTTCTCCTGGTTGAGTGGGTGGACGAACAGATATCACCTTCTCAGGACAGATCCTCTGTAGGGGCCATGGCCCAGAATAAAACAGAGGGTGAAATATTCGCGCCTCTTTATGTTTAATTTTGCTTCTCCAGCAAAAGCAATCCTTTCCACTCCCCGCCCCCTCCCTTCAAAAAACTGAGCTGGAGAAAAGGTGGTGTGCAATCTACACGAGGCGCAGGGATCTGTGTTCAGCTCTTCTCACATCTTTACTTCCTCCGCATGGATAGCCCTCCCATGAAAGACACGGAAGGGACTGTGATGACGCTTCCAGCCAGGCGAAGTGGTAGGGGAAAGATCCCTGGTCGCAGATATGGAACTGCCGGGATAGCTCAGAGGGGTTCGGTCTCTGGCTGCGAAGCCAGAGGTTGGGCATTCGATTCCCCCCTTGGTGCCTCCTGGACAGGGGCCGGACTGGATGATCTTTAGGGGTCCCTTCCTAGCTCTGCCGTTCTAAGAGGATGACGAGAAGGACAGCAATGATTCCACCACCGCTGTATCTGTTTTCTCTTGCTTTCCTTTCCTTTCCCTGCAGGAAGTGCTGCTGAAGAGGGCTGCGGATCTTGTAGAAGCGTTGTACGGGATGCCGCACAGTAACCAAGTAAGCCGCCGGATCCGTCCGTCCGTCCATCCTCCCTCCCCCCCACCCCCCACCCCCTGGGTTGGGTAGCCCAAGAGCCGGGAGGTGGGGTGGCTGCATAGACCCAGCAACCCTGCACAGTGTTTCCTAACTTTGGGTCCCCAGATGTTCTTGGACTACAACTCCCAGAAGCCCTCACCATGAGCCTTGCTGGCCGGGGTTTCTGGGCATTGTAGTCCAAGAACTACCGCGCCACTGCCATAGAGGGAGGGAGACCCAAAACCGCTAGGTGGAAAGGAGAGCGATTCCTGCCCGCACCCTCATCCCACGCACATCTCCTTTGATGGAGAAAACAGCTGCCCGCTTAGGGCCCGGATGCCCAGGGGACTCTGGGAGGGGTAGTCCAAGCAAAGGAACTTTGTGAAGTGCTGTGGAGAATGGGGAATATTTCCCAGCGCAGAGTTCTGAGGAGTGCCCGGTCCTCCGGCGCCTTGGCCGTCCCTCGTAAGGCGTTCGCTTTGCCAGCAAACTCTTTCCACATCTTGGACGATGCGTCTCCTGCCCCCCCTTCCCCCAACCTCGCGCTTTTGCTGGCAGGGGCCCACGCGAGGCCCTGGCTCCCAGGCATACATCTGTTCGCCATTAGGAATTCCAGGGCCGTGAAGTAAGGGACTTTCGAGCGGCCCCCATCTTTTTTCCCCCAATCCCTGGGCCCGGCCGGTGTTTTCACGGCTCAGTAGCGGTTAGCACCACCTGGACGGATATTGCTGCGGTCTCCCGGAGGCGTCGGGTCAAGCCGTTGTGTGGGAGGCCTTTGGCTCTGACCGGGAGCCTTGTTTTTGCTTGTTCAGGTCCCTGTTGGGTTGCCCTGCTTTTTCCTTTCCAAGAGAGGAAAAGCAGGGCGCTCATCTGCGCTCTTCTCCCACTCTCAGAATTGTGGGACGAAGGACCTCTCTGGCCGGGAGATGGGGGAAAAAAAAACAGGTTTCACCCAAGGTCTGGCTACCCCTTTCAGGAGAAGAGGGGGGCCGGGTGAATGCCACCTGACCACCCACCCACGCACCCACCCCACGGTCAGCCCCACACACCATCTCACTGCTACCGGGAGAGAGATATCAAGTGCAGAACCTCTCCTGGGGAAACCGTCCCTAACCCAAAGAGCTGAGAAGCTCACAAAGTGTCCTTCGCAGACTCAGATCCGGCTGAATCTGTGTATCTACATCTAAAGGGAAATCCTCTTCTCCCTCCCCAGGACATCATCCTGAAACGAGCGGCGGACATCGCCGAAGCCTTGTACAGCGTCCCGCGCAACCCCACCCAGCTGGGATCCCTGGCCGGGAACCACACCCACTCCAGCATGATGGGCGTCAACTCCTTTGGGAGCCAGCTGGCCCTCAACCTGAGCGAATCCACACAAGGCTCTGAGCAAGGTAGGATCCTCTCTCTTGCTGAAGGCAACGGGTCAACCGGGATCGCCCTCTGGGGAGACCAAACCATCCTCTAGCCCGGCATCTCTCGACCTGGTGGCCCGGCCAAGGAGCTGGAGTGCCGTTGGCCAGGGTCCTCTGCTCTGTGACAATGGCACCAAGTCGGGGTGGGGGGGTTTGTGACGGAGTAGACCATCCCCTGTTCCGTCCATCCAGATGATTCTGGAAAGGTCATAACGGAATGCAACCACGGCTTCTCCACTTGTTACTCTTTGATCTCTCGAGTGTCTCTGTATAACGGGGCGGTTCTGTGTCCCGGCACCAGCAGAACAGTTGCTGACGGGCCTCTCCTCCTTGTAATTTGGTCTCATCCCCTTAAGGCGAGGTTTGACGGTCTGCCCCTCCTGTTGCCTTCAGGCTACACGCGCAACACAAGCAGTGTCTCCCCGCGAGGTTACGTGCCGAGCTCCACCCCTCAGCAGACCAACTACAGCACCATCACGTCCAGCATGAACGGCTACACCGGGGCGGCCATGACTGGCCTCGGGGTGCCCGGATCGCCCAGTTTCCTCAATGGCTCCACGGCCAACTCCCCTTATGCCAGTGAGTTTGCAGGGTTTGTGGGCAAAGGAGGGGGGGAGGGTGTCAGCACCGGTGGGGTCCCCCCACCACCACATATCGGTCCGTTTCACAAGTGCACAATTCATCCACCTTGAACCTTAGCAAAAAAGAAGAAAAGTTTTTAACACTTTAGGTTTGGGAAGGGAGATTGTGTCTTACTCAGATCTGTGGGAACTCACAGTCCGTCAGGGGGACAATACCGTGGCCTTGTTTCTCAGCGGGTCCGTTTGTTCCTTTAACCAAGTCCGGTCTGTTCTGATGGGCAACGGCTCTCCTGAGTCTCAGACAGAGAATGAGTTTTTTTCCCAGCACCTGCTGTACGATCCATTTAAGGACAGGGGAGGCCACAGATGGAACCTCCTGGTGGCAGAGTTCCATGTTGTAACCACCAGGCTATGGCAGACTCGTGGGAGGCAACTGGAGAGCAGAGTGAGACCGCCAGTGGCAGGAGGGCAGAGTGTGTCCATGCAGATCCTCATCCTTCTCAGTCGCCAGGAGAAACAGACAGAGCTGGAAAATGTGACTTCGCTGGACAAAAACTCCAGGGATGGCTAAGCCAGCTGGGGAGGTCCAGAAGCTGTTGCAAACAGGAAGGAAGGAAGGAAG